CAAGTTTTACCGATACTCGCATTTTTTGGCTGCTGTGGAACCCTAAGAGTAAAACCAGAGCTTTCCACGATCACAGATTCAATTTATTCACCTTTTTCTTAATACCAGGTTAGGAAGATATAACTGCTAATGAGTTAACATAGACGTATACTCCTCCCTCATAATTGAACACATTGCATCAGTACATTAGCATTATGTTGATTTTTAGCATTTTATTATCATTTCATTATTTATTTGATTTTTTTTGTTGTTAAGTATTCATTATTTTGAATACTTATTTACTATTATCGGTAATATCTTCAGCGGTAAAGGGTTAAGTTCTGAAATGGCTTTAACGCATTCTCCTTCTGCTGTCTTCAAGGTGACCACTCTAGTTAGTCCATCAGATCTTTGATTGCTTCTTTATTACACGGCCTAAGCGTCATAGCATGGGAGGTAGAAAACGGTCGAGGAATGTTACCAGTTGTCCTATTTTTAAATTTTCTTTAGTTTGGCCATTTAAACGATTTTTGAAGGGTTTATAGGTATTCGCTTCTCCAACGCTACCAAAATTTTGATATTGATTCACTTTAATCCAATCAATAATAAGATTTTCGTTCGATGGTTGTTGGCAGCGCAAACAGTTGTTTCTCTATTTGAAAATGTGCTGTTGTCAAAGCCTCCAAATCTAAAGGATTTGACAATAATGGAGTTCGCGGTCTCGAATTCATAATTGCTTCTATTTCTACCAATAATGTTTCTGCTTCTTTTGATACAATGCAAGCGGTTCCAACCAGTTTCCTGATGTGTGTCTTCATGCATATAATTGCAGCTTTACAAATTCTATCAAAATGTTTAGCATATGGAGGACTGAATTTCCATTATCTGTTTACATTTAAGCAATAATCTTGCACTATTTGTCTTGTTAAAATTTTCTGGAGATGTGCTGAAGAGCTCACAAATGCTTTTGCATTATCTGAGAAGATAGTACTTGGGGATTCCTCTTTGCAAAATACATTTTTTGAATGCCGTAATAAATAAAGTTGCAGAGAGATCTATTGTCGATTCTAAATCACAAGAAAAGAATTATATAATTCATATATTAAGTTAGCTTGAAGTGATTTCTGTGATTTTTACTTAAAAATGCTTACAATTTGGTAAATTTTCATGTTTTATTTTTTTTCTTTCTCTACAATAATTTGAACCGGAGTTATGAATTTTTTAAAATAGGTCAAATTTGACCTTTGACCTATTATGTATCCATCAAAAATCGAGATATTGATCCGCAGTTTGCGCCAAAATTCTTAGTTTTCAATTTTCTTTCCAATGATGTATCACAAGATAGGGGTTACCATGTGAAAAAGAAGGTGGGGGGCCCACCAAGAGAGGGGCAAAAATTCTGACCCCACTAGAAGATGGTGTCGTTTGAGATAGAAACATTCCCGAAGTTTCATATTTCTACCTCTAAGGTCCAAAAATTCCACGTGGGGGGAGGGGGAGGGGTACGGACTTTTGGGACAACTTGTATAAATACGCAAACATAGAGATTCATTACTGGCGAATTTTTCCGTTCTGTTTGCTTAACAACGTCCAGCGTAAACTACACCAAATGACAGATGAGAATGGTAGTTGAGAAATGACGCAAGTTTCAGGCAGTGGCGCCATTATCTGTCGTGTGCTTTTACAACAACTTTCATAATTATTAATAGTTAAAGAAATATAACGCTAAACTGCAATTTTAGAATTGATTAACCTCATCCCGATATCTTAATAAATAAATAAAGTGCCTGATAAAAGGGTTAAATTGCTCTTCACATACACGATGCAGTGATTCACAAAAGTCAAAGCAGATCATCTTGCTTGAAGCGGCCAAAACCTTTGTCAAACTGCCGAAAGCAGTCGTTGGGGTGAACAATGATTTAGGTGATTATGTTCTTGATGGAACACTAATGATGTGAAATGATGTTTAGCTGAAAGTAACATCAGACGTTAAGCATCTTCAAGGAACCCACTGTTTAGCAATCTTCCACTTAACCTGCACAGCCTATTTCTATCAAGAAAGGGATGCAATGTAAATATTTTGCTTGACCTACTTAGACCAGGAGCTGGTACCGAAAGGTCTTTAATATCTTCGGCGAAAGATTCTTCTTGAACTGATTTGACGCAACATGTGAGCAATTTCTATATTCCTTCAGATGTCAGTGGTCCTGTTTCCCTTCGACTTCTTTTAGATTTTGTATTATTTATGAGCCTAAGGATATATGGCATCAGTCTCTAGACTGTTTCTCGTTTTGAGAATTTATGAAATAAACTCGATGGAGTTTGAAGGTGAATGGAGAATTTGCATGCAAATTTTGTATTGCTTCATCTGAAAGTGCTTAAAGGGCTGAGTTCACAGTATTTTTTATAATTTCTTTCTGATATAGGAAATAGTATAAAAATAGATTTAAAAGTGAGAAAATGCACCGCCTAGTGACGTCATCTGGCAGCATTTCCCATTTAAACGCATGTATTTCAGCAGATTAGATCATTTGGTGGTCATATCTTCTCCAATAATTGTCCGTTTCATGAATTAAGGGTATCCTGGTGTTCAGTTCACTCAGTAGTTTCCACTTAAACACGAAAATCATCAAATTTCAGACATCTGCAAATTCTCTATTGCCAATATAACAGGAAAGGGTCTTTATTCTAACTCAGTAAGCCGTGAGTTTCTTTTGAAATTAGGCCAGAAAGCTTGATCACCAAAACTCGATTATTTCCATTAAAAATGCATCGTCAACTGCCAGATATCGAAAATATTCCTGCCACAATTTTAAGCTCTGTTCTTTTCCCTGTAACTAAAGAACGAATCTTTGCAGAGTGTTGAGCGACCACTCATTTTGAAGCAATTTTAATGTACTTTCTAATAGGTCCTTTGCACTTTTGGGCTAAAACTTAATGCTTTTCTTGGCAAATGCAAAAATATATCAATAAATGCAATTTTCTTAGTGCATTTTAACATTTTGGGGCCATCCCCCCCCCCCTTTCCATCGTCAAACCGTGTCGAAATTTTAGTATGTTGTTAAGGTAGTATAACTAGAGAGATTCCCACAAGAAAAGCATCTGCTGCAATTTGTTCTGGGTTGACCCCCTATTTTCGCTACCTTAACCCGACTAGCCTGCCGATCTCGCTCTCCGAGACTGAGTCCAAGTCTCTACAGACTCAACTCGCGAGACCGTTAAAAACCCTGCACTTTTGGAGGCAGCCATTTTAGGCGTCATACCTTGAATGGGGAGGGGGGGGGCGTCTTTGTCATTTTTGAACTTGACAACATCAAAAGTAGAATTCTACCTGTCAAGATGAAGGAATTGATGTAGCACACTAAATTTTTTACATCAGCAGCACACTGGTGTCTTTAATGGATATGTTATACCAATGACTGAATTCAGCCAATGTTGACAATGGCTAAAATGACGGGCCATTGTCAACACTGGCCAAATTGCGTAAGAAGAGACCGGCCAAAGATCGAAAAACTGACATTGGCCAGTCAATGAGAACAAAGGCTGCGGCATGTCAGCTAATGTCCTATTGGAACCTGAACTGCAATACTTTTGAAAATTCCCACCTTATTTGTTGGTGCATGGAGTGCTGTCATGGCATCTTTGGTTACGAAGGACGTTGGCAGCGCGGCACGCGCATCTCCGGGTAGTGCATTTTTGACGGCGTTGACACCTTTTGCAGCTTTGACTCCCATTTTATCTACATCAGAAATAGGAATGATGCCAGTTTTTCCAATCGAAACGGTAGCAAACTTCTTGTCAGAAGTTTTCTTTATTCTTTCAGCTTGTACCTCGAGATTTTTCTTAGCGGCGTTGCGAGCTGTTTGGATTGAATTTTTCAGCGTTCTGAGTGCTTGAATTTCCGTGGGTTCATAGAAGATGAAACCACTGAAGTTCAAAAAGTCGAGGGATCGGCGTGTAAAATGGTTGTCTTTTCAGGCAACTCCAGCAGTCCTGCCAGTCCTCTCTCACAAAGCTCTGCTGCGGCCGCAGGGTTGCCACGAATGCTTTGATACTAACACATTGGCTGGCCAGCCTCGGTCGTTGTCAACACTGGCCGGCCAGCCTTGGTCTTTGTCAACATTCGCCGGCCAATGTCCATTTAAACTCCTATTTTTATTCTTAAATGGAAATTGACCAATATGGCCAGCCATAGTCGACTCCGGCTGAAATGACCAGCCATTGTCAACATTGGCTGGCCATCGTCAACATTGGCTGGCCATCGTCAACATTGGCTGGCTTTGGTCATTGGCTGTAACAGATTAATCATGAAAAGTGAATCACTGCCTTTAATCGATAAACCACAAATTGTGAATTAGGATACCAAACCGGAGCTCATATTTTCCATATCTGGATAAGGCAATAGCTCCTGTTATAGCTTTATTTGATTTTGGAATAAAAAAGTGATGTTGTCCATATCGTTGAAACTATGATGCAAAACATGCCTCTGGTTCGAAGTCTTCACTTTCCCTCTGGTTTCCTAAATCCTCTTATGCTTTAAATATAGAAAATGAAGGAACTCACGTCTTTGACACGTTGTTAATTCAATGCTTCATCAATTTTTCCGCTTGAAAATGGTCACATTTTAGCTGTAGTAGAATTAAGTGCAGTTTGTTGCACGTTTTAGTGAATTGAACATGAATATTTTGGAAGAATTGTGAATTAGTGATACTGACTTAAGTGATATCTAGTAGTATATTTTAGAATCCATCCTCATCATATATGATTCGTTTTTACTTCCAGCTTTTCTAAAATCCATCAGAATTGTCATGCTTATTGTCTGTCTTAAACCGTATCTCCCAAATTTTGTGAGTCACAATATGGTTACAGTTTATATTCTTTTTCATTCTTATACTTAAATACCTCCCTGCCTTTTTCTTTTTCTTTCTTGTGTGTTGTTTGCTTTCTACAGTGTAGTAATTATTTCTTTATTTTCTTCCATATTCGGTTTGGGGGGTGGGGGGTTAATCATTTTAAATCAGGATGATTTAAGTATGACGCAAACAATAAATTATGCGCAGATGGCTGGACCATCAAGAGAAGACGAGCAAGTAACACTTCTTGGAGAGGAGGGACTTCGAGCTGGTGGACAAGCGCTCAAGTTAGGGTACGGTATTTACATCTTTCAACATTCTGTTTGTTCTTGTTATTCAAATCATTTTCCTATGTGACACATGGATCAAACTAGCTAGCTAATGAGAGGATGTTACAAATTGTATCATTGTAGTAATAGTACACAGTATAAAAGCAGAGAACACTTCTTAAAACTTTCGTTTACTTTTGTGACAAAATGAAAACTTACTGAAACACAATATTAAAATCATTTGAACCAATGCCACCATCACTGATGCTTGTGAGTAAATTTCTAAGGGAACTCATGGAAGGTTTGACGAACAGTAAAAGAGATTTTTTTCATTTTCTCTTCTCTTTCCCTCTCTCTCCCTCTGTATATCCCACCTTTTCTCCCATTGCCTTTCTCCTAAGGTATGTTGTATTGCTGGAGCACTCAATGGAATTCATTAGGACAGCTCAATACATTTATGTGCCTCCAGATGTGAATAATCACTAGCTCCAAAAATCTAACCATGCAGTCTGGTGATTTAGCTCTTGCAGATGTCCAGCATATTATTCAAACTAATATTATTTATTTTAATACCCATTGCATTCTCTAATTATGGTACACTCGGATCCTATAAACTTGTAAGTGAAACCCTCCTTTGAAATTCAAAGTGTTTTCCAAAATTGCCTGTTTTTCTCAAAAACGGGTGTCAACGTTTGAAACGTTGTCAAGAACTAATTTAAAGAGGGTAAAATTCCTCATGAGTAGCTATCAGCATTGATTATCTAAGAGCTGTGGTCAAGGGTCTCCAGGAGACTCAGGGCCATACCCCTTGTATTAAGGTATTTTCCCAGGTGGGCATGCGTGTAGGTGAGAGTCGATTCCAATTGTAGAGCTCTTGATTTCATCTTCGAGGCAGAGTCACAGCAGGGGTAGCTACTACTTGGATGGGAGACCGCTTGGCAAGATGGCAAGTTTTGAATCAGATTACAAGTGTTTATATATAATATTATAATGGTAGTCTGTGTGAAATGATTTTGTTGTCACGGAAATTGACTTTTGTTACTTTGATTTAAATTTATTAACAAAGTATTTTTATTAATTCAGAAAATAATAGAAAATCCAACGGAGGAGAATATGTAAGCCCACCATCCTAATCTTGTTGGATGTTCACCGTTGTATCTTTATGATTTTCGGCCCCAGTCCCAAAATGGAGATTATTCACAGACAGGTATTGTGAGAGTTCATCCAAACACCCCAACTTAACCAGGAACCTCCCTTTCTCCAAACCAGTCGAATGTCCTTAAAGTGAAGGGTCTGTACAGATACCTGGATATCTTACAGTCAGATAAAATCAGTCATCCTTACCAAGATTTGAACCAAAGACCCCTTTGGTGGCATCTGAATGCTGCGACCTTTAGACTACCTAGAACGACAGGGGCAGCTTTAAGGCTGTCCAGTGTCCATAAATTACATGACGCGATTTTTCTGATTTTTTTTTCGCCCACGCATTCCTTGGAACGCAATCGTAACGCCGGTCCAGACACCTTAAACGGTCATTCATGGTTCCTGTTGTTATACAAAAGAATTCTGTAGTTATTGGCTTCGTTTTCATCAACTTATTAACATGATTGGCTGTATGATCTGATAAGTACACGTCTTGTCTCTCTTGAAGCTTGCTTCCAAGCAGTTTTCATTTCTTGTCTATAAAGTGAGGCAGAAGAAAGCATAATTTCTGTTTCGCATTTATAAAAAAGAAAAAAAAGAAAAGAAATCAATCAATTTAAAGCAAGGAGGGAAACTGAAATGTGGTCAGTCCACTTTTCGGGGATTCATTCAATTTCTAACACTTTCGCTACCCACTAATGTCCAATGAAAGGTATGTGGAGTGACTCATTTGTCTGCCAAGTCACTTTCTAATTATCTCTAGTGTTGTTTAAGATTGAGCTCTTTGCCCATTGTTACTAACTGTCTTCAATTGCATGATTAATCCTCCAACTAACAATTTGGTGCTGGTTTTATGCATTTTATGAGTTTTATTTAAGCTAGTCAAATGTTAAATTATCTCCATTTTGCCGCACTAATAATCCTCAAGTAGCATGACTGGTCAAAGTTATTGAAAAAGTGTCCAATTTTGTTTACCCTGAAGATGGTATGAAGACGCCGAAAAGCCTATAACTTTTCTAGTAAATAAAAGTTTTTCAACAAATTTTTACATTTCTTGTATTCTGCCATTCCTTATCGAATAACGGCCAATACCTGGAACAGCCCTAAATTTTTTTCTAACTTTAAAATGGAAGGTTTATCGTGGATTTGGATTAGCATTACATAATGTTTCGTTAACATAACCTTGCCTTTTCCTTCAAAATCACAAAATGGTAAGAACAACATAAATCACGGAGGTGCAGGGCCAAAATATTGTTTTGAAATTTTGAAAAAATTTTAGATTGAAGTCTCACCAGCAAGTGACTTTTCCCGTCCATGTTTGAATTTTGGGAAAAGTTGTGAAACGTTTCGGTTCAGAGTACACCCGCTTTTCAGAAGTCCAGGAAAAAAAAAATGGCTTTCCCATGTTCTTAAAACAATACTTTTTTTGTTTCTAATTTTTTACATTTTTTTTTCTATTTATTCAGGAGTTGAAGATTTCAGGACAGGAGTGTGGTCTGTTCTTGACTTGTAATTTTTTTATATTATTGTGGGTTCACTCCTGGAATCTTCAAATTTTGCAGCAAGTTTTACATTAAAATGTAATATGTAAAAAGTCTTCCAAGAATGTCTGGAATTGTGCATAATGTCAGGAAATTTTGCTACCTAGAAGTAGGAGAAATTCTTGAACATAAACAAAGGAGGGGTATCGATAAGGGCCGATTTTGGCCCCACTTCAAAAAATCATCTGAACCCTTATTTTAAGTACCCTAGGGTAGGTGCATTCTGGCGCAAAATATTTCTGCGATTGTGCATCGTTTTCCTGCCAAAACAGCCGACTCAATTTTTCGGCTGAAAAATGGTTTTAATTTTATGACAAGCCCAAAAAAGCTTTGTTTCATGAGTACGGGAGGTGCATATTTGTAATTTTTTGCGTACATTTCAATGGAACAGGCGAAAATTGTCTAAACCCACTTGTAAGGGGTCACTCTAGACATTTTCAACGATTTTTGGGGTTTTTTAGCAATTTTTCACCTATAACTAGAAAACGGATGATTATACAACAAAAACAATTGCAGATTCAAAAAGAGCGTAAAAAATCCGTGAGAAATCATTGGTTAGACATTTTCTCAGCTTAAACTGTCAACACGAAAAACAGCTCTAAACTTGAGAAAACCGAAAAAACTGCATTTTCCACGATTATTAGTCTTCATTTACACCCAGCACAATTTTGCCACATCACCAAAATTTAACAGATTAAAGTTACATACCAGTACATGAAACACGCCAAAAATTACGGTGTGGAAAAATTGTGCTCATAGTTAAAAATGGACTTTTGTTGAATGGAACCATCCTTGAATAAAAGATGAAAATTCTCTAACTCTCCGGGAAGATTCGCCAATCATTCATGGGATACCTGTATCCTGGTAATTTTTTGCGTACTTTCGATTGGGACGAGTGAAAATGGTGAAAAATCATGTTAAGTGGGCCATTCAGAGAATTTTTCAATATTTTAGGGGGGTTTTGGGGTTTTTCTGTGGGGGGGTAGGGGTTGTTGGGGGGCTTGGAGAGCATTTTTTGTTTGTAATACACCAAAAAAATAACAAATTCAGAAAGAACGCGAAAAATTCGATAGGATTCGATACTTGACACTCTCTCTCAGCTTGGACTGTCCACACGAAAAACGGTCTCAAACTCGAGAAACTGGAAAAAACGGCCTTTTCTCCAGCTCTCCAGTCATAATTTACATCCTGGTCACTTAACAGGTTAGATCGTTAAGCAGTATACAAGGTGTAACAACTAAGTGACGACAAACTTCCAGGGGTTGTTCCATGGCTCAAAACAAGCAGAAAAGTCCCGTACCAAAATCCTCTACGATGCGTGGTTCTGGAGTTTCGGGGAGTTCAATTTTTGAAAAAAATACCGCACGTGTTCAGATATGACGTCACAGTGGCTGTCCTAATTGTCGGAACCGAAAAAAATTGTGGTTTCGTAAAGTGCTCATCAATAGCTTAACGAAAGGTATTTTCGTTTTTTTTTTTCGTAAAACCCCTCTTAATGGAGTTATTGACCGTAAAAAAAATACCGTATTACCGCACGTCGCAAATAAAGTTGGTCAGGACGTACGGTAAAACGGTATTTTTTTTAACGGTCAATAACTCCACTAGGTTTTATTGAAGAAATACCAGAGGGTGGTTCGGGTGTGTATGCAGAAGGCAGATATAAGGCCCTTATTTAATTTTTTAACTGTAATGCGATGTGTTTTAGTACTAAGTATACAGTTTGTATATGATTGTTCAGAATAAAGTGACTTGTTTAATAATGAAAGAAATGAATGAATGAATAATTATAATAAAAAAAATTTAAAAAATATATCTCCGTTGGAGGGGGTTTTACGAAAAAAAAACGAAAAAACCTTTTGTTAAGCTATTGATGTAAATTATGACTGGGGAGCTGGAGAAAAGGCCGTTTTTTCCAGTTTCTCGAGTTTGAGACCGTTTTTCGTGTGGACAGTCCAAGCTGAGAGAGAGTGTCAAGTATCGAATCCTATCGAATTTTTCGCGTTCTTTCTGAATTTGTTATTTTTTTTTGGTGTATTAAAAACAAAAAATGCTTCCCAAGCCCCCCAAAAAACCCCTAACCCCCCCCCCCACAGAAAAACCCCAAAACCCCCCTAAAATCTTGAAAAATTCTCTGAATGGCCCACTTACCATGATTTTTCACCATTTTCACTCGTTCCAATCGAAAGTACGCAAAAAATTACCCGGATACAGGTATCCCTTAAATGATTGGCGAATCTTCCCGGAGAGTTAGAGAATTTTCATCTTTTATTCAAGGATGGTTCCATTCAACAAAAGTCCATTTTTAACTATGAGCACAATTTTTCCACACCGTAATTTTTG